GAGAGATATCAAAACTGCAGCAAAAGTCATTATTTGAAGGCTGGTTTTTAACTCGGATCAACGACATAAACAGAAAAACAAATGAACATAAAATATAATATGAAATATAAATAAAGTATAAAATGGGATGATAATAATTCACCTAAACATTTCATTGTTCTAAAACTCCATACGTCTGTTGGTGTGTGAGTCAAGCAGAGTACACCAGTGATAACTGATAGTTATGCCTGAGATCACACACATTTTAGCGTTTCTTTACAGCATGGCGTTTTGAGAGAGAGTGTGTGTACAGTCCATGTATAGCAATCTTGTCTGGGACATAATTTTAGAAAAAAAAATGCTTTGTTGAAGGTATTTGGATGTTTGAGCTTTAGTTCAGAGTAAGGATTAGAATTAGGACTGGATTACAGTTAGAGTAATGAGGCATTCATCTGTAGTGGTTAAGGTTAGGTACAACAATCCTTGATTATGGACTTATTAACATTAGTGCTGATTCAAAAAACTGAATTTTGTCTATTATAGGAGATTCCCTAATTAATGGATCACATTTAATCAAATTAGTATCAATTAGCAACATTTGATACATTCTGCACAAACACTTGGTTGATTTCAAGGTTTTGGCTGTTTTTGAACCCCCCCCCCTCTTTATTCCGCTGCTAACAAATGCTAAGTGCTAGCCAACATAAAAACCCAATTGCCGACCTGCTTAGCCCTGCTCAACATCAGGGCAACTCAAAAAGGTTTTTAATCATTGACAAAGCATTTATTTTTGTTTAAAGAGAACTAGTCTCAAACAGGCAAATCAGTTCAAATGCTAAATTGTGTTTTTTTTTCTAAGCTCTAACTGTTTATTTATTTATGTGCGAACACAAATGTTTTCTTTCGATAAACATTCATACTGTCGTTCTTGTTTTCTTCTAATAAAATTCAGTTTGAACAATGGCTTGTAACATTGTTGCAACGTCTGTTAACGCACAGTTAAAATAATTTTCATTCTATTATCTTCATCTCATTAGAGACAGTTGACCTCCAGTTAATATACTGAAATAAAACATACATTTATTTATATTTTTTGTAATACACCCAGTGTATTAAATGTTGACTAAAATCATCTCATGGTTTCATCATACCATGAGAAAGTGACTGGTTTGACGGTGTAGGTACAGAGACGGTGGGGAAGAGATTGCGCAACGACTCACAGCATTGAGACACATTTGTCTTTGACTTCAATAAACGGCTTCAGCTTGTTCAGTTCAGTTTGTTCATGATGCAGTGGGAAATGGAAAATCTCACACCTTTGTGGTCGTTCTTGTGTCTGCTCTTCAACTGTACCGCTCTGCTCAAACCCCCTTCCTTTGGAAAGAACTCAAACTTCTTCTTTGCTGGTTTAGCGGGCCAGTGTCCTGCCCTTTGAAGTGTGTGTGTGTTTTTTTTTCCTTATGTTGCACTTACTTTAAATTTGTTTGAGGCCCCACTTCCTTCTTCACACGTGAATCAAAACGGATGTAATTCTCAGTTAATGGTAGTTTCTAGGAAAGCCTGCCCATTGACTCTTTAAAATACATCACATTTATATTTGATTCATCGTGTGAAACAGCAGCAGCACACGGAGTATTCAAATAGCAGATTTCAACAGAAACTGTACAACAGAACACACAGACACAGTCTCAGTCTCGGTTCATTTCTCTGCTACGTCACCTCTAATGTCTATCGTGGCTAGGAGCTCCAGTCCAAAGTAAAAAAAAAATTAACATATATGGACTTTTTTCTCAAGATAAAATATATATTTATATTTATTTCTTATGTTAAATAGTGTAGCGGTTATCACACTTGCCTCAAAAGCAGATAGCAGAGAGTCTTGGGTTTAATTCCCAGAGGAACCACATTCCTGGTGCTTGCTAGAAATATGGGATTAATATAGTACACATTTATTTATTTTAAATAAATTCAAATCTGATTACTTGTGAAAATATAATTTAGTGGTTTATATGGCTTTTTTTTAATTGAGCAATATACTTGTGAATAATATACTATTCAAAATGTAACTGCATCAGTGCTTAAATTGCCTCATGTTCAGAGCAGATGTACGAACACAGATAAGGAGGAGGAGGGATGAGGAAGGAGAGGCAGATTCCTCTCTGCGCTGTGCCTGCTTCATTAAATCCCTCTGCTGGGACATCATTGCATCACTTAGACTGGTCTTTACATAACGCTACAGTGTAACACTGCACGGGGCTTCAGCGAAGATACCAAGTGAATAAAAATGACTTAAGTGTTTCCATTATTTTCTCGTGTTGATAGTGCGTACATGTCAAAGTGTTTATATTCACCTGCAGTGAAACGCCGTCCGTTCACTCCCGGCCTGTCCACCTCTCGCCATCTGCTTCAGGATGGTGCAGTGTCCTCAGCGCCTGCTCTCAAAGCTCGGGCTCAGCAGTAGCTCTGTGGCACCACTCGTTTTGTTATTATCATCATCAGTGCTTTTGGCTGTTTATACATGCCCAATTATGTCCCCTTCCGGTCAGGCTCGAATGCTGCTGCAGAATCACCTTCTGTTCTCCTTTCACAGCCGACTCAGTGAAGCGGCGGATGATGCTCCCTGGGATAAATATATGCTCAGTCACATTTGATTGTGTTCATGTCTATCGCTGTATCCGACGAACTTAATTTAACTCAGAGAGACACACGATTCAAATGAGTGCTGATACGTCATGCAGTTATTATTTCTCACCAGCAGAGGGTAGTGCTGCTACACTTTTATAAACAACACTTAAGGTTTTTTTGGTCCCGTCCACCTTTTTTAGACAAAAATAATTTGATAATAATGATTTCTACAAATCTTTCTTAAAAATAAATTCACCCAAAAATAAAAATATCCTTAAACACCAGGTTTGGACATAACAGACACAGTGACACCTGACCAATCCCTGATGGGCCGTCCTCGATTTGTGATAATGGGCGAAACACAGTATATCGCCTCAAGATGAACGCCCGGGCAGTGTGTGGTACATGGCATGCACCCATGCTCGGTACACCTCACTGGCACCTTATGACTGGTGAATTCGAACCTGCAACTTTTCGGATACGGGTCCGCTTCCTTAATTGTTAATCACCTGACCAACAGTGCCCCAAAACCTAATTTGATTTTTACCCCAACCCTAATCCCTAATCCTAACCTATACACATACATATATAATCTGAAAAAAACAAACTTTTTTTTATCATTCATTCTTTCTTTCTGACAGTCAGCCATTTTACTAATTTTATTTAGATCAGGGCGTGTTTGTTTAAATGCATTGTTTGGATTTGGATGTTTCACCGTGTCAACCTTCACAGCGGTTGTAAGAGACTAAATATTTAAGTTATTTTGTCAAACTTCTATTGTTTGCTGTCGCCGCTCCTCTCACGTATTGTGGAGTAGAACCGTCGTTACGTCACCAGCCGGGGTTTCCTTGTGAAGTGAACCGTACGACGTCATGGCTGGGGCCGGTTGTCGGAAGACCCTGTACTGAGATGCCAGCTATCTAGGCTCGGAGCTGTCTAAGGAACAGTCAACTTTGTTTGTCCAAAAGAAAAGGGGACCCCGTTTGATTTTTAGAGGAAGTGGAGAACCACCATTGTACCAGTTTCATCGAAAGGAGTCGTCTCTCCCTAAGTGGGAGATAGTTAGCTGGCTAGCGTAAGTTAGCATTAGCTACCACCAGCTGCTGGCTAACAATTTAATAAAAGAAGAAAGGACCACTGAAGTGCAAGGTGGCTTTGGATTACAACTTCTTTACATTGTATCAGGTAATTTTAAAGCCGGGGCACAGTACGAGCATTGTTAAAAATCTATTTGGCCAGATAGTCGGTTAACATCATATGTTGATGTGGTAAAAGCCGCGAATTAGCACAAGATGGAAGTGAAGTTTGGTTAGCTAACTTGGCTTAGTGATTAAATGAAAAATAATACTGTGGGTCCGGGGTTTAAAGCGCTGTATGAGCTGCACGAAGGCGTGTTTATATAGTAGACAGTCAAACTGTGTGTTTGGGCGTTCGGTGGGAAGTTAACATTCAAGAGCTTAGTTGTTCTGTTGAACTGGGACAAAGTTTGGTCATTTTGTTAGCTTCGCTGTAAGCCTTGTTAGCCTCGTGTTTCTCGTCGTTAGCTAAAGCTACTTTCCCTGACAACCCCAGTAAACGGAACGTTAGCGTTACTCTTCCTTTTGTTAAATCTCTAGAGACGTTGAGTAAACAAAGTACCCCCTTTAAAAACACCCACATGGCTTAGGCAAATAATATGGTCTTGCGTCGAACATGAACATTTTAATTGTTTACAAATGCTAATGTTATCTTAAGTTGTAGAAAAACAAAATATTAGCACAACACAAGAGCTAATATGCGTTTAGTGGTCATTTAAAGCAACATGTAATATACTTTCTGTTTTACACTTGTATTCTACTGGTACAAAAAGTAGCAAAACGACCATGTGTATAAACATTAATTGTGACATAACCCGCCAATAACCCACTGTTTGCGTAGTTAGCCGGTATTGGCTAAGTAGCAACAATCTACGTTGAGTCGGTGGTAACACTAAATGGATCTTAGTGCGTAGTGAGACAAAAGTATTGATGGTGTTCTTTCACAGAATAAACCGTTTTGAACACGGTTTGAATAAGTGTGGTTATTTGGTGCGTATGGTGGTTATAGCGTGTTGCGTGAATATGATAAATAGCTGCTGTTGTGCAGGCCTGGTAGGCCGCAGCGCTTAGGATGAAATTCTGTGAAGTTTTCAGAGGAGATACAACCATCAGATTTGCCCTGTTCGAGTCAGCGACGGATTATTAGGGTTACAATGAGAAGAAATGGAAATCAGTAGTCATTAAATAGTACGTTTATAAAAATATTTTCCTAAAAAGAAAAGAACCTAAATGATACGGGGAAGTTGTATTTTTATGACATTCATGTCGTAATATTAAACGGAACAAGAACAATTTTCATAAGTGCAGTTGAATAAGTCTTACTTATTCGTACGTATTTATGTGCATTAAAAGAATAATATTATTTAAAAAATCTTAAGGATGTAAACAACTCTTAGGAGTCAATGCTGCATTTTGACATCATCTTTATGGTAATGACAATGTTAATGTTTTGTGGTACTAGAAAAAGAGGGTGATGTTTTGGGGTTAAATATGTGGAAAGGGCAGTCGCTGTTAACCATATGTGCTTTAAAATGAAAAACACATACTGTGTTTTCATTTTGTATTTTATATTTTCAAGTTGTATTTTAACCTTGGTTTCACAAATAAGATTTACTTCATCTTTTCAGAGCTTATTGCTATAAATCATAATAAACGTGTGTACTTTCTGGAAGCTTCTCACACACTTGGCGGATTAGCCTCCCTTTTGTTTTTATTGAATCTTTAGATTTTTTTCCCTTTTATTTGAGGGTCTTACATTTTTGCTTTTATCTGATAAAATAATACAATAAAATTACTTTATTTTTAACACCAGAACATTCTCTCTCCTTGGATGACATAATTGTTATACATTGTAGATATGCTCATTAAATTGCATATGACATTTAACTAATTCACATCTTTACATCACATTTTTTCCTAAAAATGTAAGACTATTTTATTTTTTATCGGACAGTATGGGAAGCTACATTTGTACAGATTGTTTTGCCAAATGCTCTTACTGTTTTTTTTCTCACCAATGGTAATACACAAGGAAGGTAAGGTAACCTTCCCTTTTGCGTTCCCATTGGTCTGGGAAGAAACAAAACCTACTTCATGACCACAACAAATTGAAATTCTGCTATCATCACACTAAGTTCTAAAAAATAATGAAATCCATGTTTGGCTTTCCGTTTGTTTCATACAGCATCATGAAGTACGGTGGATGCAGATGTGTGTAGTGTTAAGCAGTGTTTTAATGAGATGTGCATTTGCTGGCACTGCCAGGGTGAAGATAACAATGTCTGAGCAGGTGACGTTATTTGTGTGAGGTTCACTGGTTGTCAGTAGAACAAATGACTTGCACTGGTGTTAATTTGATATTAGGTTATGTAAATGGCCCTTGTTGCTCCTCTCTAATGGTATTTATGTTTTTGTTCAGGTAAACTACGTGCCACTGTATACAACAAATATTAAAAGAAATCCTGGATTGTGGACGTCAACATGGCTGGACGCAGTGAGGATGAAAGTGTAAGCAACAACAGTGAAGAATCAAGGTAATTCACCACGCTTTGTTTGGCCAAATGTTAAATTTAAGTCTACTGACCATTTGACTTGGATCTATAGGCGGAGCGATGCCAACTGCAATCAGCTGTAATGATGCATTTCTAAACCTTTAACCTTCATCTCTGTCTCTAAACCATTGTTAATTTGTTCAATTTTTTTGTACATTGTACAATCATTCAGCCTCCTGTTTACACCCATTACTTGGATTACTTGAAGTAGTCAATTAACTTCATTTAGCTCTTCATAATTGGCCTGTAAAAGAGTAGATAATAGTTGTAATTTGTTTAAATTTAGCGCAGAGACTTTGTCACACTTGTCCCTGAAACTGCAGGATATACTGTGTATTAAATTTTCTTTTTTTCTCTTAATACAGTAATTCAGATGACGAATCTGATTCTGGATCTCGCTCTGCATCTGGGTCTAGCTCGGGCTCAAGTTCCAGTTCTTCCAGCAGCAGCAGCCAATCAGGAAGCAGTGACTCAGGAAGTGGTTCTGACTCTGGCAGTCAGTCAGACTCTGATACAGAGAAACCCAAAGAAAAGTTGGAAACACCAAACAAGTCCAATATTGATGGAACAGAGGTAAACAAACGTGTGTTCTCAAAGATCTGTAGATGTGTTTATCTGCTTTCATACGGACCACACACTCCATTTTTATTTTAGTGTATCATTTATGAATTAAAAAGCAGACAAGGATAGGCCAAGAAAACAAACGAACAACAAGTCTTTAAAGTCATGCACTAAAAGTTTGAACTAAAAAGTGGAATCAGAATTAGTATATTATTTTTTTGAGAAGTTACAACTTTAAACTTAAAACAGCCATTGTATCAAAACTGACCCTGCGATCAGTGACTTGCAATCATCACATCACACACAAAATATATTAACATAAGATCCATCCATCCATCCATTTTCATCCGCTTATCCGTTACCGGGTCGTGGGGGCAGCAGTTGCCACCCAAATCACATTGCACCATACCAACCCCCCAAACTTTCCTGCGGATGCTGAGTCCACTGGAACAGTTGATCTTTATATAATTTAAAATTGATTGAACAGAAAATGTTCATCTGTGAAGATGTGAAAAGTTAAAACTGGTGTTTATCCCTCAAAGTCTGCCCAGCTGTAAAGTGTTCAACCAGGTCTAGTTGTTGTTGAATGAAGTCTTGTCTTGTGCAGTAATTCGGCCAACTCCTCAAATTTCTTTGATTTCAGTTCTGGAAGTCCAACCCAAGTATACTGGCGGTGCAGAGGTCTGCAATGCTCCGGAAACAGCAGCTTCAGCAGCAGCAGCAACAGCAGCAGCTGGTGCAGAAACAGAGTTCCTCTAACAGTGGCTCGGACGAGGTTTGTTGGATGTTGACCACTTTACAAGTAGCAACGTTACCGTTTTACTACATTTATCTGTCCCATTTAACTATTTTGAGTTAACAACATGGACTCTGTCTGAAATGTTCTTTAAGGACTCATCAAGTGATGAAAGTGACTCATCCAGTGGTTCAAAAAAGAGAAGAAATTCAGGTTCCTCCGGCTCTTCATCAAGTTCTGGTTCTGGAAGTGATTCTGGGTCAGACTCCTCGGCAGAGGACAAGAGCGATGAGACTGCGTCAGACTATGAACCAAGCAACAAAATTAAGAGCCGAAAACCACCGACCAAGTGAGTAATAAGCTAACAAACAGAAGAATTGATGGGTGCACAGTTTCAAGTTTCTATTGTAATCCTCACATTACAGACATGCATAAGAAGGTGCATTAACGCTGCCTTCATATTAGCTCTCAGAAATATGGAGCAAAGTCAGAACAGCAGAGAATTTACAGAGAAATATAGATGTGAGTATTAGAGATATGGATGTTTGACTGGTGACCTTAGTGTTAACCACTTACATAATGACCTTTTGATGGAGTCACAGTTGTAATGACAGGGTCCTAGGTCAACATGTTTGAGCATGTAACCAACTCATCTTTTTACAGTTGACATAAGCACAGCACCTTAAAACATCACAGCCTCTGTACTGTCCTTCCACCAAGATGATTTTTTTTCTGCTATATACTATTTTATATATATATATTTTTTTTTTTTTCTCAGTTGGTAAGATGCCTAAAAAGTGATTGGCCTTAGTTTCCCTTCAATCATAAAACAAACATCAATTTCAAGTTGTTAAATGCAGAACCGTTACATAAAACAGTTTTTTTTAAAGAAGACTTTGGAACAAAGCAAGTCGAGTTTTAACTGTGTTTACTTCTGTTGTATATTAGGATGAATTTTCGCAATGGAAATAAGAGCAGTGCTCAGCGGAAGAAATCCAAAAAGTGCTCGTCTTCAGAGGATGACGATAACAGCTATAAGAAGGAGGCATCTGTGGGGCCACGGCGGCAGGCAACGGTCAACGTCAGCTACAAAGAGGATGAAGAGCTTAAGACGGACTCAGATGATATGGTGGAAGTTCTCGGAGAAGACGTCCCACAGCCAGAGGAAGACGAGTTTGAAACGCTGGAGAGAGTGATGGAGTCAAGGATTGGAAGGAAGAGAGGTGAGAGCGACAATATATACAAAGACAATGCCTTTCACTCACATATTGACATCGCTGCGTGTGATGTGTTGAGATGTACACAAGAAATAAAGCAGTAGTTTCTAATGGTGGTATTTTGTGGTATACGTTTTCCCATTTTCATAGGAATATTAGGACCTTTTGATTATATGTGTTTATTAGTCTGGTCAATAGAACATTTAGGACTAGAATAGGACTTAATGTTTCAACAAGAGTATTTATTATCTTATATATATTTATTTATACCAGTTTGATCTCCAGATGCATCACTCCTGAACATCTATGTATTTTCCTATCCCTAGAAATACCTGCTAAATTATGATGGGACCAAAGTTCTGTCTTGATAGCTTTCTTAATCGTAACTATTAGTGAATTATGTTTTTTTTTTCCCCCAAACAGCTACAGGAAGCATAACAACCGTATATGCTGTAGAAGCAGATGGGGAACCCAACTCCAACTTCGATCCGAACAGAGAGGCTGGTGAGGTCCAGTATTTGATAAAATGGAAGAACTGGGCCCACATCCACAACACGTGGGAGACTGAGGAAACACTAAAGTTGCAGAACGTCAAGGGCATGAAGAAGCTGGACAACTTCAAGAAGAAGGATCAGGAAAAAAAGAAATGGTTTGTTTGTGTTATGATGAAGGCAGTGGTGGGTGTTTAAAAATGACCTTCGAACTTGAACCTGACTAACTTTCATTGATTTCTCTCCAGGTTAAAAGCCGCCTCACCAGAGGATATAGAGTACTTGAATTGTCAAGAGGAATTAATAGATGACCTACATTCTCAGTACCAATTAGTAGAGCGAATTATAGGTGTGTTTATGATTCAGTTGTTGAGTTATGTGAAAGCCAACCATCAGCTTAATGTCAAAGTTTTGAGTACATGTCTGTTTTTTTATTTCTAGGCCATTCAAACCAAAAATCAGCAGCAGGTTATCCAGATTACCTGTGCAAGTGGCAGGGCTTACCATACTCAGAATGCAGCTGGGAAGATGGAGCACTGATTGCCAAAAAGTTTCAAAAATGTATTGATGACTACATGAACCGCAACCACTCCAAGACCATTCCATCCCGAGACTGCAAGGTAACAGCATGTAACATTTGTGAAGGATCATTCTTTGTGGCGTGGACTTGGTGACAACAGATGAACATACTGCTGGTCTGTTCTGTAGGTCCTCAAACAGAGACCAAGATTTGTACCCATGAAGAAGCAGGCTTCCTACATAGGTGGTGAAGGACTGGAACTCCGAGACTACCAGCTGCACAGTTTAAACTGGATGGCTCACTCTTGGTGCAAGTAAGAGTTGAAATATCTTATGTTGCAGAAACATGACTTTCTTTTTATTATTGAAATAATATAAAACAGCAAACAAATAAAATACCCATCAAGCTTTTACATTTCAAAGAAATCTAATTGATTTACTAGGTAAAGTGGCATTTATGTAAACAGCATAATGGTCATTTTTATTTTGTGATCCTTGTCAGAGGACACAGCTGTATCCTTGCTGATGAGATGGGTCTAGGAAAGACCATTCAGACCATCAGTTTCCTCAACTACTTGTTCCATGAGCATCAACTGTATGGACCCTTCTTATTGGTGGTGCCCCTCTCTACTCTGACCTCCTGGCAGAGAGAGATCCAGCTGTGGGCTCCACCCATGAATGTTGTGGTCTACCTGGGTGACATCAGCAGCAGGAACATGGTAAAGATTATTTTTTTCATCTCTCCCATGTCACACATGGTAGAGGTTACTTTTTAATGTGCATTATTTCTAGATTGTTGCTCAAGTTGTGATTTTAATTAGTTTAACAATACCCTAATGTTTTGTTTTGTGTTGTTGTGATTGACAATACCCTAATGTTTTGTTTTGTGTTGAATTTCACAGATTAGGACACATGAGTGGATGCATGTCCATAATAAGAAAATGAAATTTAATATCCTTCTCACAACATATGAGATTCTTCTCAAAGACAAGGTTGGTCACAACATGACTCGGAGCTGAGAAAGCATTTTATCTCATTATAACACATTTATTATTGGAAGTTTATCATTGTTATATCTATCTAACGCTGCATGCATTTCCTCCCAGTCATTCTTAGGCAACGTCAACTGGGCCTTCATTGGTGTGGATGAGGCCCACCGACTGAAGAATGATGACTCGCTCCTTTACAAGACCATGATCGACTTCAAGTCCAACCACCGGCTCCTTATCACAGGAACCCCACTGCAAAACTCGCTGAAAGAGCTCTGGTCCTTGCTGCACTTTATAATGCCAGAAAAGTAGGTCACATTTATTGACTTGTGAATAGAACAGCAGTTAAGAACAAATCCTCAAAGTGCCAGTTCTTCTTTTGCCTAGTTATGTGGTAAAATCATTATTTACTCCACTGCTTTATTTGCTTTTGACTGATTTCTTTTTTTGCTGATTTCTGACATTTTGAACATAGTCATCTGCTATGGATCTCCTATCTTTATTGTAATAAAATCTCAAACCATGAAGATAATACAATTAAGGTTTTTATTTATTTTTGATTTAACAAAATGACTTTTGAAGATGTTAAGAAAAGGGTTATTGTGAAACTTACATTTATACAAAGTTTATATGGTCATTTTCATTTAGCCCTTGTTTCATGAGTTGAGAATAACACTACAGACTCACTCTGTTCCATCTCGCCATGCAAGGTTCCATTCTTGGGAGCTGTTTGAGGAGGCTCACGGTAAAGGCAGAGATTCTGGTTACACCAGTCTGCACAAAGAACTGGAGCCGTTTCTGCTTCGCAGGGTCAAGAAGGATGTTGAAAAATCTCTTCCTGCCAAGGTCGAGCAGATCCTTCGAGTGGAGATGAGTGCTATCCAGAAGCAGTATTACAAGTGAGTGCCAAGTACTTTTTCGTCACAATTGTCATTGTTTACATAAAGTACACATGTTTAAACACATGGAGACCTCACATGAAAGATAGCGTGATATATTTTACAGTTTATGGGATTGCATTAATGTTTACATTAACCAGTTG